AAGTTGCTTAATCATAATTTTGATCATTTAAGCAAAGAAACAACTGCTTTTACATCCACTTCCTTTTCATGCATCAACCTTACCCATCTACAAGATTGTATGATAGGCATGAAGTGGCCAACCCGACAGTGGGACGTCTTATTGGGATCGCAAAGTTGGGTATAAAAAGTGAGTGTGATTTCTCACGGCCGGCCTTATTTTTCGTCTCTAAGTAGGTTTTCGAGACTACCAGTCAATTATGTATAATAGATGTACTCACCCTAGTTCGTGAATATGAGGAAGAACTGGTCGTTGAATTTTCTCACATTCCGTCCATTCAGTTTGCATAGCCCTGCTTCCCAAAACGTATTCTCCTCCAGACTGGGATGGACTGCAGCTTCGACCTCGTCTGAACTGGTCTCATTAGCAGCCCTAGTGGGACTCGAAGAATGTTTGTGGCTGTACGGCGTAAAGGGCAGATGAAACTTCCAATGATGATAATAGTTTCGGGGAAGCAAGGCTATGTGAAATTTAATGGAAACATAAGGTATACTCATGTGATTGTGGAAAAGCTCAACTACCAGTCCTTCATCGCCTACCGAAATTAGGGGAATATATCTCATATACATGATCTACTAGTAGTCTCGCAGAGCTACTCGTAAATTGAAAAGTAGTTATTCTGTTTTTATTAATAACTTAAAGTTGTCTTCATTGGATTCTTACCTTTTAGTATACATAAACACACAAGTATGCATACTTCTAGATTAGCCTGTGTTGAATTGACCAAATTATTCTGTATCTCATCAAAATGCATGGAATTATGACTTGTACGAGCACGAAGATTTATTTTCAATAAAAGTGGGATTCGATAGCTGGACTATGATTGTTAGGGTGTCAGTACACTTTGATGATCTCCGCCACATTGCGGATGAAAGCTCAACACGTTTTAACAGGAATCAAAGAAGATTGTCTCAAAAACGGCATCAACGAAAATATTCTAGTATTGGGAGATCGACCAATGCATCTCTTCATACCAGTCTTTCTCTCGAAATGCGCTTTAGCTCACTATCCGAAATCGGCATGGGTGGCTTAAGGTGATTGATAGGCAGACAATGTGGTGGAGATTTGCTGTTCACATGGTTTTGCATGACGAAGAGATTGACAAGTCAATCGCTCCAAAATATGGCTACTTATTCTCGTCGATTCTGCCGCCGTTTGGTCTGAATACGATGCTCCGGTTGACGCGCTCCACGATACAGTCTCCCTCGTTTCGAGTGAGAATGAGAATGAGCCGAAATTTCATCATCTTCAATTTGGAAATCGTCGCAGTCGCAATCCATTCTTGCAAAAGCCTCAAGCTGATACGAAGTCTAAACGAACATCCCGTTCTATCCCGTAAAGTTGAGATCAGAGGAGGCCTTGTAAACTGCGTCAGCTGAACGGATAATGAACACTGAGAATCTGATGAAACCTTCCGGTCCGATCGGCTTACAAATCTTTCAATCCGACACTTTCATACAAAATGCTACTAGTATCTCTAGAGGCTCACTGAAATCCATTTTGGTATTCGT